GCCATTATGTAAATAATCGATGATCCGCGATCTGGGGAAAGCTATGGATTTAGCCGGGCCTTTTACGTAGCCTTTTATGCAACTATGGCCATAGTTCCAGTTAAATGGGGCTCATTTCGATGTTTGCGATATTTCTTACAATTTTGATCTTTTGATTGATCCATTTTGCGCTTTTAAATTGGGTAATTATTGACCAGGACACCCTGATCTGCGGTAGAAAGGAGACAAAAAGAAAAAAAAAGCAAAAATGTACATATATGCCTCATGCACTTAATCGAGAATGACATGTCCAATGTATGAGCTCATTCACATTCTACGATATACACGCGGAAAATAACCAAATGACTAAGGCCTTCCAAGCCCCAACGTTGGGAACTGCAGGTGAGAAAAACAAAAAAAGAAGGCTGACGAGTTCGGAGATATGTATCCAATATGTACGCAGTAGAGCAGAGCATAGGAATTCCAATTATTAATAGAAGCTTTGCGCCTTACACAGAGCTCAGGTTACCCGGACAAGGGGTCCAATCGGTGATGGGATATGAAATCCCTGGATTCCGAATTGTCGCTTCCGACAAGAGTTGAGTGGATGTGGTTCCAGACCTGACGATTGCAAAGAATAGAATTGAAGGGGGTAAAAAAAAATAACGCAACCGTGCTGAAGAAGGATAAGTAATCAAAACCCCCTGGTGTCGGCGACCGAGAGCCATTCACAAGGCCGAATATCATCGCAAACGCGGCGGACTCGAAACAAAGGCCTAAAAGTCTCACCGGGGAGCTTCCGATCGGAAGACTTCTTTATATAATTTTCCTATCTATAGATGTCGTGTGTTGTAACATATGATATTTGACGGTGATCTCCGTCGACCGCCTGTTTACGATATACAATTGTGTTTCTAATCTCTTTGAATTCCTTTCACGAATGTATAGTTCTAAAAAAAAAAATTTGAAGAAATTGAAGAAAAAGAACCAAAATGGAAACACCGAATCGAGATTAATTAGGGTATAGCTTCACTCCACTTCGGCACTATCTGCGGCTCTGGAAGCTCGTAGCTGTGGATTGGGGTGGATCCCAGAACCCCAAAGAGGATTAGCGTTGATCCAAGGCGTTTCCCTCCCCGGCTTTTGTAGCCAATCAGGTTACAGTCTTTCATTATTCACAATTCTACTTGGTAGCTGTCATCACCAGTTCGAGGTCTACCGTGTAAATGGGAAAATTTAGAATTTTCTAACTCCGAATGACTCCAATCTCCAATTTTGGATCCCCTCACATCTCAATATCATGAGATACGTAGATACGTAGTGCAACTCCCTGCGCAATGCTGGAATGAGAAAAAATAATTAAATCGCGCACTGATCATCCACGTAATTTCCAATGGAAATTATGTGTGTGTTTATGTGTCTCATTCAAGTCCCGAATAAATAATATCTTTTTTTTTTCTCTTTCAATACTCATATTCAACATATTCAACACTGATTTGACTGTGTCTCCGCATTTGTCGGAGTCGGCGCCTCCCCGTCTCCACACGGTGATACACTCTCCTTGCTGGATCTACTTCCCGATCCAAAAAAATAATTAAAATAATTAAAAATCAAAAAAATAATAGGGATCCAGATTCCAGAAAGGCTTTCATGCACAACGGTTCGCTGTCAACACCGAAAACTGAATCCACATGGGTCTTGACCCTCTCTGTCGTCCGACTCTTCCCGACTTCAAATCATGACTCTTTTCTAACTATACCGTGTCGCCTTGACACGCGGTCCCGGTTAATTATCTGGTCATCCTCCTGTCGGAATGTCTTTGATGTGCGCACGAACATCCCAAGGCAAATTTAGTATGTTGTCTCGTGTACATAAAAACAGACTCGCATCTGCTCCCAAATCCTTTTCTTCTTTCTATCATTCTACTTCTACTCCAAATCCGAAGTCCTCTCAGTTAATCACAATGGCTCGATACCCTTCACTACCCACTCAACAAAGCCGGCCGGTGCACGCCACCCCGGCTCCTTTTGTGAACCACGCCTCGCCTGCGTAAGTCAATCCAGAGCTCACCTAGAGGGTTTGCGACGAAGCAAGCAGCCACTAATACCTCTCGTCTGTAGCGACGCCAACTATGATACCGCCAACCCTGCACACATCCGCAAGTACCTGCGCACATACGGCCTCACTCCTCCTCGCGCCGAGGGTTACGAAACACAAAAGACCCGATGCCTGGCTCAGCTGGGTCTCAAGAGCACTCCTATCGAAAAGTTCCTATACCTCAGCACTCTGCGCAAGAACAATGTGCACCTATTCTACCGTCTGGTGACAGACCACCTCAGGGTATGTTGAGCATCGAGACATGTGATTGGACCGGGGAAACATGAAGAAACGAAAATTAACCATAATAATCCCTGCAGGAAATGACTCCCCTGATCTATACCCCAGTGGTGGGCGAGGCCTGCCAACGGTGGTCCGAGATCTACCAACAGCCTGAAGGTACGTACCATCACGGAGATCAATCTTCTCCGCACTTGGCATTTTTCTCCGCACACGAATTAGAACCGGAGACGCTAACGCTCGATTTTAGGTATGTACCTGAGCTGGGAGGATCGCGGAAACCTGGCTTCGGTCATCGCCAATTGGCCCGAGTCTAGCGTCGAAATCACATGTATCACCGATGGCTCCCGCATCCTCGGACTGGGTGACCTGGGCATCAACGGCATGGGTATCCCCATTGGAAAGTTGTCCCTTTACACCGCCTGTGCGGGTATTCGTCCCGAGGCCACCCTGCCTCTGACTCTTGATCTGGGTACTGGTAACAAGGCTCTCCGGGAAGACCCGCTCTACATGGGTAGCCGTCGCGAGAAGGTCTCACCCGAAGAGGAGCGGGAGTTCTTGGACGAGCTGATGGCTGCCCTTACCGAGCGCTGGCCTGGGTAAGTGACTCACTCTCACATGTCGTTCGGGGGTAATCTCCCTATAGCAACTGCGACTAACCCAGCTTCTCTAGTATCGTTATCCAATTCGAGGATTTCAAGAAACCCCTTCCCCGCTCTTGAGCGGTACCGTGACTTGTACACTTGCTTCAACGATGACATCCAGGGTACTGGCGCTGTCATCCTTGGCGGTGTCATTAACGCTGTCAAGCGCTCCGGTCTGCCCTGCAAGGATCACCGCGCGGTGTTCTTCGGCGCCGGCAGCGCCGGTGTCGGCGTTGCCCGCCAGATTGTCGAGTTCTTCATGCGCGAAGGCATGACCGAGGATGAAGCCCGCAACTGCTTCTACCTCGTCGACACCAAGGGTCTCGTCACCGCTGACCGCGGCGACAAGCTCGCCGACCACAAGGTCTACTTCGCCCGCCGTGACAACAACGGCGAGCAGTACAAGACTCTCGATGAGGTCGTCGACTACGTCAAGCCCTCCATCCTGATGGGTCTCTCCACCATGGGCGGTGTCTTCACCCCGGAGATCTTGCGCAAGATGGCTGACTGGAACACCGCCCCTCTCATCTTCCCCCTCTCCAACCCCTCCTCCAAGTCCGAGTGTGACTTCGAGACTGCCGTCGTCAACACCGACGGTCGCTGTCTCTTCGCCTCCGGCTCCCCCTTCCCCAACTTCACCTTCACCAACTCCGCCGGCGAGACCCGCACTTACTACCCCGGCCAGGGGAACAACATGTATGTCTTCCCTGGTATCGGTCTCGGCAGCATCCTGTCCAAGGCCGTCCGCGTCACAGACAGCATGATCTACGCCTCCGGCGCTGCCCTCTCTGCTGCCCTCACCAGCGAGGAGCTCGAGCGTGGTCTGCTCTACCCTGACATCACCCGCATCCGCGAGGTCAGTGTCGTTGTCACCCGCAAGGTGATGCGCGCTGCCCAGGAGGACAAGGTGGACCGCGAGATTGCCCTGCGCTCGATGAGCGACATCGAGTTGGATAACTGGATCAAGGCCCGCATGTACGACCCTCACACTGAGGTCCGCGCTCTTGAGCGTGAGGTCGGCCACCTTCTCTCCAGTCTGGGAACAATCTCGCCCCCCATGACGGCGAGTGGATCCCCACTGAGGAGAAGAATGCCAAGTTGTAAGATTTGATCTTTTTTCTTTCTTGACCTTTGATTTGCATTTTGCATTTTGCAACCAAAAAAAGAACATCTGTTCTAATCTGTCAGCGCTTAGGATCTCTGCGTGATGGACTCGCATCTTACTTTTGACCTTTCATATTTCCCCCTTTTGTTAGTTTCGAGCGCACTTTGGTCTTTTTTTTTTCTTCTTCTCTGCCTATTTTCGGGTTGGACACGAACTTCTTTTTCCCTGATTGAATACCCAGCACTTATTTTCTTTGGTTTTTACTCGCATTTCGAGGGTCTTTGCATGTTGGGGATAGTTAGCATTTAGCTGGCATCGCCATCGAATGAACAAATTGAAATCACTTCAAAACACTTATTCCATTATCCTAGTCGCCTACATCTTATCTAGACTTTACTTTGTCCTCGGGTCGATTTTATCCGATTTTTCATGAACAAAAAGTCCAAGATATTTAGAGCTCGCAACATCTTCCCTTCCAAGTTAGCAATAGTAGCAACTCTCACTGATCGCCAGATACTAAAACACTCCCAAGCACCCACAAAAATCCACACGGGTGAATACAACTCCCCGACTTTCCCCATTCACATTTCTTGAACGTGAAACCTTGGCACTGAAGACTCCACAATATCAAAACGGGACATCAATCTCTCCGCGTGAGATGACTAATGCTAAATTTGAGATGGTTTCAATGCCTTCGAAAGGATATTTATGTTTTCAATTTTTGATAAAGCTGTCTGTTCGTTCCTTGCAGTTTTCTTGTTCGGATTCCGTGGTATAGAGGTATGTCTGCCCTTCAAGTTGTGAGAGTAATTGGAACTAACAACATTGACAGCGTGTTTTATATCTGTTCGGCTTTAATATCCACATCGCCAATTGCATTGGACTGTATACTTTACACAGCATACATTGATCACATACGAAGCTGCATATACACCATGCCATCTCCCCTGGCAGACCCCGTCAAGCTCCCATGTGGCCTGGTTTTGCCGAATAGGCTCAGCAAGGTACAACATTCAAGCCTAATAGCTATATACAAATAGAACTAACATCCTTCCAGGCTGCAATGGCTGAGATGTTAGCTAAAAATAACCACCCGACAAATGCCCTGGTCGATGCCTATGAGCAATGGTCGGACGGTGGATGGGGAAGTATCCTTACAGGTAAGGTCTAATGCTTCCATGTCTAGTTGAGACTTCTATGGCAAATGCAAACCCCCCGAGCCCTAACCATGACTCTAATCTCACCCTACACTATAAACATATTCCCAAAAGCCAACCCTAACACCTCACCAGGAAACGTCCAAGTCGACGTAAACCACATGGGCGGCCCCTTCGACCCAGCCCTACACAACGAATACAAAGATAGCGAAACCAACAGCGGCCTAGTCGCTCAATGGAAGACATACGCCGACACCTGCCAAAAACACGGCACGCCAGCCATCGCCCAGATCTCTCATCCAGGTCGGCAGTCCTTCCGCGTTGCAGGCCACCGCGGCATCTTCGCGCCGACACTCGCGCCCAGCGCCGTGCCCATCAAGGTTGGAAATAGCTACCTTGAGGGCCTGATCGGGTGTCTTGTTTGGTCTGGACCCAAGGAAATGACTACTCAGGACGTTGAGAGGGTTATTCGTCAGTTTGTCGATACTGCAAGACTTATGGCCGATGCTGGGTTCTCGGGTGTTGAGCTGCATGGTGCGCATGGATATTTGATTGGTATGTTGTCTTTTTTTCCTTTTTAAAGGATTGGCTTGATGATCCTTGTGCTAATGGTTTGTTTTCTTGGTTAGACCAATTCCTCAACAGCAAGGTACGACACTCTTTCGTTCCTCTGTCATCCTAGCCTAACGCCATTACAAACAACAACACCAATACTAATTCTAACCACAGACAAACCTCCGCACAGACGCCTACGGCGGCACACCCGAAAAACGCGCCCGCTTCGTCCTAGAAATTCTCTCCCAAACGCGCAAAGTCGTACCATCAACCTTCGCAATCGGCATCAAACTAAACTCCGCCGACCACAGCTCCGCAACCTTCGAAGAAACAATGACACAAATCGCCCTTCTCGCCGAAGCCGGTATTGACTTTATGGAAATCTCCGGTGGAAGCTACGAAGACCCAAAGATGATGGGTAGGGACACAGCCAATCCCGCTGCAGCACCGAAATCAGCACGCACCGCAGCGCGCGAGGCTTTCTTCCTCGAGTTCTCGAAGGAGGTGCGACAGCGTCATCCTGATCTTGTGCTTATGTTGACTGGTGGGTTCCGCACGCGTGCTGGTGCTGAGGCGGCTATTAGGGATGGTGCTTGTGATCTTGTTGGGATTGGGCGGCCTGGGGCTATTGATCCGAGGTTCCCGCGTCTGTTGCTTGATGAGAGTGTTGGTGATGAGGAGGCAAGGATGGTGTTGAATAATGTGGCTGTGCCTTGGTATATGCGGTTCCTGCCGTTGCATCTTGTTGGAGCTGGGGCTGAGAGTGTAGGTTTTCCCTTCTTTTTCCCCTTTGGGTGGGTTGAGTGGTTTGCTGACTGGTTTTATAGGCATACTATTCTGGGCAGATTCAGAGTCTGAGCAAGGGGATTGCCACTGTTGCTCCTCTGTAGATTTTTGGGTTTGTATTAATACTTTTCTTTTGACATAATAATATTTGTTGATCCCATTGTCTCTCTCCTAGCCAAACACAATAGATCACCTTTGAACCCTTTGAAACCTTTCATTGTGGGTATTCATATGTTGAATCTGCAATGTTGCCATGTTTCTTTGTTATCCCCGAATTATCGTGTTGGGATGTCGGGTCCATGAGGTCATAAATGGATAATATGCGTGGATACAGTATTATTATTGTAGGTTACATGATATCGTGATGTTCTTCTAAATACAGACAGTGGTAGAACTAGCAGCCCCCCGTTTCTTCCTCCTCAATAGGAAATAATCGCAACTGTTTCAACTTCTCCTGTTCCTTCAACTGCCCCAGCTGTTGATAAAGGGCATCATTACCCTGCACCAATCTTTGAACCCACAATGCAGTCTCCTCGAGAACGTATTTCCTCGTGTATTCCTGTCTCTCAAGCCCTGGCACAATGCGACAGAGTTCTTTATACCGGTCTCGAACAAGCTCTCTTCTCTTCTTTTCCGCTCGGCAGTGGCACAATTTCTGTCCCGGCTTTTGTATACATTTTCTCTTCTTTTGCCCAGACCGATTCCTGGCTTTGATGCAGCTTGCCCGTTGTGTGCATTCGGTATCATCTGATGAGAGGATTTGGCCTTGGTTCGATGTGGATGAAGATGGCGAGGATGGTGTTTCGGAGAGTCTTTCATTTTGTGGCATCATCGAGGGCTGGAACATGGGAAGTGTGAATCCATCCAGTTCTGGGGGATCTAGTATGTATTTCTGAGATGCCCCATCTTTGGTTTCAGGAATATCGAAGCCAATGTCCATAGTGGCACAGAAACTGGCCATGTTCCGCATCAGGTTTTGCACGAGTCGCTCCTCTGTCCAGGTTCCGATGGGACTAGAGTAGCCATGGTAGCAGAAGCTGGGATCTGAACCCCATTGAAGACCTTCTTCTGTAGGCCATCGTTCTCGGGAGATTGGTTGAGGTGTGTCGACTTGCCATGGACAGTGGTGTGAAAGAGTAGTATGGTCCATTTGAAGCATCTGGTGGTCGTTTTCCATTTGGGGTTGTGGTAGGTATTAATTGGTATTGGGCTGGTTTCTTTGACTGTAAAATATATTCAGGTAGTAGGTGCTATGCAGCTGAAGTTGTCTTTTGGGTTTTAGATGTTGGTGAATCTGGGTTTGATATTCTGATATCAGGCTTCTGTGTGGAACGACAACAACGACATGTAACGGTACTTGATTTTGGATTTTGGAAGAAGGGGGAAAGTGAAGGGAAATAGCTTGTTTCTATTATTTTTATTACTTGAAACAAAGGTCTCATTAATGAGGCAGCAGGGTTCTCTACGTCAATTTCGGAATGCACCCGGCATAGAGTACTTGCGGATCCGCAACCGCACTGCATCCGCAATACGTCCGCAACAATGAAATGGCTGGCTAAGTTGACTGCATTTATCTCTATACCACTTGAACTATGTAACTATGGATGTAGTAATGTGAGGTATAGTTGGCCTTTCATCAAATATTCCTCTCTTCCAAGGTTGACGCTTGCGCTCTGTGAAGAACCACACCGGGTGCATCCCGGGGGCTCCACGTATGATGTCGATCCTACACATTGGACCCAGTAGCCCAATTAGAGCACTCAGGGCTCACTAGTCTTGACCTTAAGACAAAAACAGGAATACTTTTCTCCATTTCTCCATTTCTTCATTTTATTTCGTAATTCCGGGGGATATTGGTTGCCACGTGACCCTGTCTCCGGGTACATCCCGGGCACAACAGTCCCGGGATTGTTCCACTCCTTTTCCCATTCTCATAAGGATTACATTTCCTGCAGCACGCGACCTTGCTTTCGGTAATCACCCGAATCACCAATAAAACTGTGCAGAAGCAATACTGTGGGGTGCACATGCCCTTAGCTGTGGCTTATAGGAGCGGCCACAGATGCCTCCCAAAGGTGGAATTACCAAACGAGAGCCACCGCGACGTCGCAAGATTGCCTTGGCATGCGAGTCATGTCGAGATAAAAAGGTCAGGTGTGATGGTATAAAGCCAATTTGTGGCCCATGCGCTCGGCGCTCGTATACCGTGAACCAATGTGTATACAAGCTAGACAATGCGAGGTCTGCCAGCAACGATGAATACCTGAAGATTCTCCATGATCGCATTCGAGAGCTTGAAGACATATGTGCAAAAGGCGGGGTTACCGTCCCGCCTGGGCCTTCACAACATGGAGACTACGGGGCATCTGAAAGTCAAAGTCATGTGGGGGAAGATATGGATCTGGATGGTCTAGACGCAGAATCGAGGACATCTGTGGCTGCAGAAGGACTGCTAGGACTAGGTTCCACCCCTATGCCATCTGGACCAAGCCATATGTCTTCAACTCCAACTTTTCAACCACCAAGATTTCCCGCGCAGAGGAATCGACCGGAAGCTGAGCGCTATAGATCTCCACATGCGCCACATCTGTCTCCTGAATCTGCCCACCCACGAGCAGGCGGTATATATCCTCCACCATCTCTCAACTCCCACGGTAATGTCACCGCTATGGGTGCAATATCTGTTGCAGAAGACGACCCAAGCACAGACTCTCCACAGGAGCAGCAATACTATGGGAACTCTTCAGTGGCATCTTTTATGCGTCTCGCAGGAGAGTCCATGCCTTTGCAGTCATATAAGTCAGATTTGCGAGATAGCAAGGGTGAGTCGTCAAGATCCCAAGGTCCTGATACAGGGATTTGGCGAGATCTAGGCCATCCGTCAGTAGATCTTCGATTCGACGACTTCTCCTTGCCACCTCGATCTTTGGCAGACCACCTTCTTGAATGTTACTGGGACAGAGTACATTGTCTATTTCCATTTTTCCATCGCCCCAGTTTCGAGCAAGCGTATGAAAATCTCTGGGGGTCGGACAAGGCATCTAAGCCCGAGTTACCACAACTCAATATCGGACTCGGGGGCGCATTTGACTCCGGTCCTAATTCAATTGTCTTCCACTGCGCACTCAATGCCATCTTCGCCATGGGCTGCTATTTCTCTGATATTCCGCCCGCGGACCGAGAGGCCGCGGTTTATTCGTTTTTCCTTCGCTCAAAGCGATTTGTGAATCTTGATCTTCTGGATATAGGCACTATCGGCGTGGTTCAAACGTTTTTGATTATTTCACTTCTTCTTCAGAGCACCCCTTATCCGAATCGGTGCTGGAATGCAATTGGACTGGCATGTCGAGCTGGTCAAGGGCTCGGGTTACACGAGACAACCACGCACGCCTCGAATAAACCTCTGGAGACAGAAATACGACGGCGTACTTGGCACAGCTGCGTCATTATGGACATGTTGGTTACAATCTTTTTTCCAGATTATTTCCCTGAAGACATAGCTAACTAATGAAAATAGGATTGTGAGCATGACGCATGGAAGACCGAGCATGACCTCTCACATCTCACCGTTACCTCTGCCTGTAATGGGAACGGACTCTCAAGAAGCCGACCCTTGTGAGCTTAGTGGACAACCTTGTGATCATAAGTTGGGATATATGACTTTCTACGTTTCAACCATCGAGTTATACAAAATTCTCGAGTCTATTCTATCCGAGGTCTATAACGCTTGGCAGAGTCGATCTAATAGCACTCGCACCAGTCTGTCACGAAGCTCCAAGCTTTGTAGCCTGGATGTGTTGATGGAGCTCGATGATAAACTTGCTGCCTATGAGACCGGCGTACCCCAGCCCCTGAATTGGACAGATGAACCATCACTGCATCGCTCAGACAGTGGCAATGCGCCGATCTTCAAGCGCCAGCAGAACGTGTTGCGTGCGAGGTAGCTTCTCTCTTTGGACTTTCGAGTTACAATCTCTGACCATAAAAAAATAGATTCATCCACCTTCGCCTCCTGTTATATCGCCCAATGTTTACTCAGCTCTGTTCTGATGAGCGAGCAGGATCATCACGTCGCTCTGATATACAGCCCGCTGAGAAAAATATAATCTACTCCACAGTCTTCTCAAAATGTGCTGCCTCCTGCGTCATGGCAGCTATAGACCTAGTCTCGCTTGTTCATGAGACATATCGAACAACTGTAACTGATGCATGGTGGTACAATGGATTCTGTTCGTTATCAATTCAGTTCTTTGTTATTCATGCTCGCCAACTGACATGTACTAGATACATCAACTGCAGGGTTTATCCTGATAATGTCATACTCCTGCCATTCTATCCGGGAGCAGGTTGATTCACAAATCGTGGATGAGAGCTGGCGCAAGTGCGAAGAGATATTGGCTTTTATGGCTATGTTTAGTCTGTCTGCCCGCAACTCGTTGCAGTTCTTGCAAGTAACGCACCAACATATTATGCAAAACTACTCAGGTTTGTTTTTAATAGGATTTCACTGGTTATATGCTAATTCTCGTATAGCTACTTGTCGGGATGGCGATACTTCCTCGTCGGTACCTACTCAGCTGCATCAAAGGGGCAATCAACAACCCAACCGACCCGATTTGTCGTCACAGCCTACTGAGCCGGTATCAGACGAACACAACCTCCGCCAAGAACCCAATAACATGGATATCAATCTTTTTACAACTTGGGATGAGATGGGCTTGGGTCAGGAAGAGTTTGGTTTCCTTGGGAGATTTGATTTGCCGGATCTTGCAAGCTGGTTTACGGATATACCTCCTTGAACATATCATAAAGGCGGATTCTTCTTTAAGAATATACAATAAGGGCCATCATACGATCATACCAGACTGATACTAGTCGACTACTTCGCACCAGCACGACCAGACCTGACATCCAAAAAGTCAACGCAACACCAAGCAAGCATAGAACAGAGCTTAACAAGTCTACCGAATATACTTCTAGACATCCCCTATCTTGAAAAGAACGGCCCAATTGCCTCATATAAGGGGCCTCGAATTTAGCCAACTCTTACAATTTCTCCTTTAGAAGTCCCCCGAAACAATCACAGAACAGCTCCCCTAATGAA